CTCTCTGTCTGGGAGGTTGTTGCATGTGAAGCATGTTTAGGGGTTTTCTGCTCCCTGGTTTCTAGCTGGGTTCAGCTAATAGGGAATCCAACTGTTGTTAAGTGCTGTTGAACCAGTTCTGACTCATAGCAGCCCTGTGTAAGGTTTCCAAGGAGTGGCTAGTGGGTTTGAACCACCAACCTTGTGGTTAGCAGTCTAGTGCTAATCCACCAGAAGTGCAGCAAGCGATTGGTGGTGGCAGAGGTGTGCCGTGGAGTCGGTTCCGACTCAGAGTGACCCTGTAGAGGGTTTCCGAGGCGGTAACTCTTTACAGGAGTAGAACGCCTCATCTTTCTTCCGCAGAATGGTAGTTTCAAACTGCTGACTTTGAGGTTAGCAGCCTGACTCTTAACCACTATGCTACCAGCAAGAGATTGTTGCTGTTATGTGCTGTGGAGTCAGTTTCCGACTCATAGCAACCCTGTACAGGGTTTCTGAGGGTGTAAATCTTTACAGGAGCAGAAAGCCTCATCTTTCTCCCGTGGAACAGCTGGTAGTTTCGAACTGCTGACATTGAGGTTCCCAGCCTGATTTGTAACCACTACATTACCAGAGCTCCTTAGTAAGAGATTAGAAGGAGGGAAATAGGGAGTCCAACAGGAGATTAGAAGGAGGGAAGACAAGCGTCTAAGGTCCCCTTAGGCTATCCCTTCACTACCACTATGGCCCCCGGCCTGGTTCCTCCAGGCCACAGCTCTGTGGCCCTGCCCCTGAGTAGCCCACATGGGTGCCCCACACCCTGCCCTCGGGTCATCCTGTTTTGAGTGTTCCATATGTTTCCTGTTGGCACCCTGACCGATACACAACTCATAATTAAAATCCTCAGAGAGACCGTGATGCCTCCAGGAAGCACACAGATAAGCCTTTAAAAGCAGAACATGCATAGGCTGCTTGGAGGAACTTAAACCGTGATGACCACATGGCCAGTTGCTGTCAAATCAACCCCATGTGTGCAGAGTAGAACTGCTCTCCTGGGTTTCCAAGGCTATGGTATTTCGGAAGCAGATCACCTCGTCTGTCTTCTGAGATGCTCCTGAGTGGTTCTGAATCAACACCCTTCCAGTTAGTAGTCAAGTGCTTAACTGTTTATGCAATCCAGGAACCCCTACTTGAAATAAAATATCAAAGAAATAATTCAGGAAAATTTCCCATCACTGAAGGACTTGAGACAGCCAAAATGTTCCTTCAATGCAATCATGGCAAGACTTTCACTCCTGTTCTTTGGATATGTTGTCAGGAGGGCTCAGTCCCTGGAGAAGGACATCATGCTTGGGAAAGTGGAAGCTCATCAAACAGGAGGAAGCACCCCAACAAGATGGACTGTTATAGTGGCTGCATCAAGGGGCTTAAATATAGCAATAGTAAGGATGATGCAGGACTGGGCAGTGTTTCGTGCTCTTCTGAATCAGGTTACTATGAGTCAGAACCAACTCAACAGCACCTAACAATAAAGAACTTGAGTGTCTAGATTGGAAGGAACCACCAAGGACTCTACACACAATGGATTAAAAACCCACACAATGGATTAAAAACCACATGGGACTCAGCACTGTGGGCAACTCTCCAGACACAGAACAAAAGGGTGATCCTGGCTCCAGGAAGAAACAAAACACCACCACCAGTCATGTGCAAAAGACAGGAAGTCAGAATAACACCAGACTTCTCAATGAGAACAATGGAGGCCAGGAGACAATGGAGCAGGACCTTCAAATTGTAAGGAAGACATGATTTCTACCTCACCATTCAACATCCAGCCTCTCCTCTAATCAAGCGGGGTTTACAGTTATATTGCCAATGTCTGACCCACTTTCCTCCCATGAATTCTTTCTTGGGAAGCAAATGGAGAATTCACACTACTAGATCAGGAGTAAATCATGAAAGAAGGAGCGCAGGATTCAGGACACCAGGTCTGGCCCCAGTGAGAGCTGAACATAGCTGAGGCTGAGGGAAGATGCCAGCACAGGCCTGGAGAGACAGGAGCAGAAGAGAGCAGCTAAGTTCTAGATCCATGGTGAGCAGAGCCAGAAAGTCACACCAAGGGTTCCATGGGAGTTGTGTGTCCGGGACAGGGTCAAGGACGTCCCTTAGAGTCCTGGACTGAGCAGCCACGAGGACTGAGCTCCCTCTCAGAGGAGTAGCAAGAAGGTGGGAGGCAGAAGCTTGGTTGGGAAAGTTGCTGGCCAATTAGGTCAAATGTAAGAGGTCAAAGGTGAGGCCAAGGCAGCAGGTGTATACTTAGGAGCCGTCCATGCTTGGGGGTGGGGGCTGGGTTGAATAGGGTCTCCCCAAATTCTTGTCCACCAGGAACCTCTAAACATGACCTCATGGAAATAGGACTTTTGAAAACGTCATCAAAGCTGAGATGAGGTCACACTGGACTCTTCACTGGCCCCAAACCCAATGACGGGCAGCCTTACAGCACAAAGAGTCTTCAACATATAGAAAAGTCCGTGTGATGATGGGGACAGAGACTGGATCAAGGAAGGCCCCTCCCCAAAAACCTTCAGAGAGACCACAGCCCTGCCTTGATTCTGGACTTCTGGGCTCCAGACTATAAGAAAATCAAGTTTGGTTGCTATAAGCTACCAGTCTGTGGTACTTAGTTGAGCATCCCTCGGGGACTGATAATGCCTACGGCTGGGGACCAGATATGACCTGCAGGGAAAGGGTGGAGATGCCAGAGCTCAGCATGGTGGGTAGTCACAGGAGTGACCCTCACAGAGAACAAGGCAGCGTCAGGAGGATCCGACAGATCAGGGGAGGGGTCCACACGGACCACCCAGCATTGAACAGTCCAGGAGGGGAAGGCGTCAGCAAGCAAAGGGTTGGGGTGGGCAACTGGCTGTGTGTGTCTACCCCCCAGGCCCTCCACCTGGTAAGCCGGCCACCCTCTTACTTCACTGGAACTTGTTTGGCAACCTTACAGGCCTTGCCTGTTGAGAGATGCCTTAGTATTTGGGTGAATAAGACCCTCCATCCAACATAATACAGAATGTTCTGGAGACACTCCAGCGTCACCCCACCACAGATGCACTGAATCCACGTTTGTTTGCCTGCTGTGCACACAAGAGAGGCCTGGAGCTAGGCGTGGACACGGTTGGTTTTCTCCGCAAAACAGTCCCGGGCAGGGCAGAAGGAGGGAGGGGGTGCGGCTCACCCTGCGGTGGGTGGGTGTGTACAGGTGCTGGAGGGCCCAGCGGGAAGCGGAAGCAGTGTAATCCCTCACTGTTTATCCTCTCCCCGAGCCACCCCCCTCATCCTCAGGGCCACGCCACTCCTGTTTGTGTAGCTCCTGGGGTCCATGGGTAGGTGGGGGGGCCCTTTGTGTCTGCCCATCTCTCCAGAGCCATCTTGCTCAGGCCTGGTCAAAGAGGTCAAAGCCAGAATTCCATCCCTCCTTGCCGGTGGACATGTTGTTCCTTTGACCATCAGCAGAAGGTTCTGGAATGTGTCTCCAATGAGGAGACCAAAGCCCCCCAACTCCCCACGGCAGACCTTGGGAAATGCATCTCAGCTCCAGTTGGCCAGGAAAGTAAACACTGTCGGGTGTGTATTTTCTTTGCTTCCACGACAATGGAGCCTGGTCCCCAAAATCCTGGCCCAGGCGAGAGTGTCCACGTTGGACCTGCCCTGTGATCTTCTTAGTAGGCATAGGCGTGCAGTACCAACAGCCGAAGCTAGATGTGTCTGGGCAGAAAACTGTTGACCTCCACCACTTGTTGGGAAGGTCAGGCCTTACAGGGACCCTGCTGCCAGAGCAGGACCTTAGTGGGTTCCTGTCATAGGTTGAATGTGTCTCCCTAAAATACATGTCCACTGGCCAGACCATGATGCTCAGTATGATGTAATTACCCTTCACTTTGTGATCGGAGGCAATTGTCCTATGTGTTGTAGATCCTAGCCTCTATGATGGGAGTGAGGCAGAATTCGAGGTAGTTGTGTTGATGCGGTGGGATACAAGCTGTAGGATCTTGAGTCAATTTCTTTGGAGATGAGAGAGACTAAGTAGGGGAGTGGAGGTCAACGGGACCTACCACCACTAGAAAAGAAGAGCAGGAGTGGAGACCGTCCTTTGAACCCACTCTGACCATCCTGGCCTCTAAGGAGCATTCTGGTTGTACTTCTTCCAACACAGATTGATTCGTTCTTCTGGCTGCACATGGTTCTCCCTGGAAACTCCATACAGGGTTGCTCTGAGTCAGAACCAACTCAACGGCACTTAACAACAACGGCAAATAGTCAGCGGCTGGAAGCTGGAATTTAGGGCATGAGTTCTAGGGAGAAATGTTCTCCCTTTGTTGACTTTCGAGGAAGCTGGGTTCTCTGAACTCCCACTCCTGGAAGAGTTCGGTCTGCATGCCGAGTGACACCTCTCACCCGCATCTCTGACACACCCCACTGGCTTGTTTTAATCTCTTTTCCATCTCAAATGAGATTGGCAAACCCTGTAATAATCTTGCTTCAGGAACATAACAAAGACAACGGTTCCCAGTGAGATGATAGGTACAGGCAGAGATGTTAGGGTTCACTGCATAGATCTAGCGGGGAGGGGGGCGGGGGCGCGGGAAACAGTTCAATCCATCACATCAGGTGTGATGGTCAACTCTGACTTTGAAATGGTAGCTGAGTAGCCTGGAATTTCAGGCACCAGTAGACAATGCTGACAAATGCTGATTTCCTAAATCACTTTCTCTACTTGCACGTGTGTTTGTGTGTGATTTCAGAGTGTAAATGTTTTAAGGAAGGAGACCTTGGCTGCTAAACCACAAGGTCGGGGTTCAAATCTACCAGCTTCTCTGTAGGAGAAAGATGAGGCAGTTGGCTCTGTCAAGACCCCAGCCTTGGAAACCCTCGGGGGCAGTTGGACTCTGTCCCACAGGGTCGCGATGGATCAGAATCGACTTGGTGGCTATGGGTTAGACGTTGTAAGGTAGAAAGCCCAGCAGGGCCCCGAGGCCTACCTTGTTGTAGTACTGCACCTGGACCGAGTGCCACTGGCCATCACTCACGCCCCCCGGCACCTGGGGCACGACCGTCGTGGTGGTCTCACCTGTGGGGGGGGGGACGGGACAGTCAGAGAGAAACAAGTTCGCGAGGTCTGGTGGAGACCAAGGCACATGACAGGTGAGCACTGTCCAGAGGTGATGTCTCTGCCCCTTTCACAGTACTGACTGCACACACCCACCCCTCCACTCCATCCACACGGAAGGCAAGGATTAGAGAGGTCCCCTCCAGCCCAGGGCCTCAACAGTTACCTGCCCGCCACCTGAATGGCCTTTCCCTGAAGGCTCACATACGCAGGTACGGGCTCACATACCTCCACACGGGGTCACGGGAAACTTTACCAACACCTGACAGCTGCTCGGGGCCCAACCCAATCTTCCCTTTGCTGATGACAAAAGACACTCCAGGGAATTGCTTTAAATACAGAGGCCCAGACTACATGAACTCAGTGACCCAGCTGTTCCAGGAGCACTCACGGTTCACTTTACTGGGGGTCCTAACCTAGTGGGTTACACGTTGGGCTGCAAACCACAAGGTCGGCAGTTTGAACCCACCAATCGTTCTGCAGGAGAAAGACAAGGCTTTCTGCTTCCAGAGAGATTTACAGCCTCGGAACACTACACTGGGTGGCTGGCAGCCGTCACCAACTCCCAGCACACCACCACCTTTCCTTGAGGGACTGAACCGACAGACAAAACCAGAAGTGAAGCACTCTTGTTTCTTATCCTGTGCACTTCATACAGGCATGTCCCATGCATGTCCCACGTTCTTAAACAATAGATGAAGGTATCACACCAAGCATCATCTGTGGGGCCACAGAACACTCCATGGGGCCATCTCCTCATGTCTCAAGACCTGATGTCTTGTGGTAGTTAGGGTCCTACGTCAGCTTTCTAGGCCTGGATTCCCATGGTTTAGCAGTTAAGATGTGCTGTTCCCATGGTGACGAAACCTAATACAGGCATAGGTAACTCTAGGATGAGTGGCCATGAGCAACCAATCAACTGAAGGAACACGTCATTGGGGGTGTGGCCTGCTCCCAATGTAATGGACACACAGAAGGGACACGCTCCCTTCCGTGGGAACCTGGGACTCTATAATTGTAAGCCACTTTCTTAACAATAAATTTCTTTCTATATATACACATATGTATGTTTCACTGCTTTTGCATCTCTGAAAAACTACATCTCCCATCCTTTTCCAGAACTCCTATGTCAGCTGGGCTGGCATCACAAAAAAAATCCCAAACACACTGCCATCCAGTCAATTCCGGCTCGTCATAACCCTATAGGACTGAACAGAACTGCCACAAGGGATGGGAACTTGACTGAAGCAGAAGGCCACCTTTCTCCTGTGGGACAGCTCAGCACTCAATCACTGCGCCACCAGGACTCTAGGCTGGCTCTATGCCCACGGCCCTTGAGTCAATTCTGACTCAGAGCGGACCATAGCACACAGAAGAACCGCTCCTTTGGGTTTCCAAGATTGCACATCTTTACAGAAGTAGACTGCTTCATCTTTCTTCCATGGAGTGGCTTGTAGGTTTGAACTGTCAACCTTGCTGTTAACAGGCCAACACCTAACCTAATGCACCACCAGGGCTCCTTGCTGGCATTTGAGGCAGCTATCATCGTCTTGGAAGCCCTTGGGGTGTTCTGGCGTGAACTCCAGGTGGAGCAAGAGGCTTGGAGGAAGCAGCTTCCAATGCTAAAAGCAGAAAATGTAGACCCCAGGGAACTAGCAGACCATCTGGAAACAAGGAATACAGGTCTGTAGACTGGGACCTGGAGAGCAGAGTGGAGCGTGGCATCCTGCCTCACAAAGCCTGGGTCCCTCGGGGCTCCTGCAAACAGTCTGGCTGTGGTCCCCACAGAGGGCGCTGTGCAGCTGACTGGACTTTACTCAATCACATGACCACCACGTGGGGACTCGAGACAGTTTGTACTAAAGAAAGACCATGTTGGCTTGTGTTTCTTCAAGACTGATTTTCCTCTACGACTGAAAAAGGAAGGACACCGTTTACAAATGCACTACCTTCTCCTCTCTCTGCATACTTATTCAAAGTCCCTGTGTGGTGCACCCAAAAGCCTCCTCCCGCGTCTGACCTCAGAGTCTGAGAGCCCAGACATCCTAAAGGTAGGAGCCCAGGAGTCTCGCGCCTCCTTCGGGAATGTCTGCACAGCCGCAAAGAGCAAGCAAGGAGTCTGGTGGCCGAGAAATCATGGGTGCTGGTCCTAGGCAGGAAGACACCAAAAAAACCTACCCACAGGAGAGGCCCTATGGGGTGTCACTAACACGTTAAAATGTGTATCACAATTTAGTCCCCAAAATGTCTAACTGGTGAAAGCCACTAGTGGGTCTCAACAAAGCCGAGACAAGGCAAGCCTAAAAAGGCAAAACCACACCAGACACTCGCACGTCCTCCTTCTCCCTAAAGCTTTCCACAGATGGGAGATCGTTTCCACGTCACAGACACCCACATGTTTTGCTTTATTTTGTGTTACTATTTGTGTCACATGATTTGTATGTATGAGGGGGCTTCAAAACGTGCATGGAAAAATGAAAGAGAAAGAGAATGGAATTTTCCCACAAACTTTTAAAGCCCTTTCGCATATAGGAGTCCTGGTGTGGTGCTAGAGGATAAGCACTAGACTGCTAACCATAAGCAAAGCTTATTCAACCTACCAGGTGCTCTTGGGAAACCCATTATAGGGTTACTATGAGTTGGAACCAATTCAACAGAAATTACCAACAACGAATCTCACATCTCTACTCAAACTTCTCAACAGACGTGAAATAGTTTCTACATCAGTGATTCGGCCAGATCTCTTTGTTTTACTAATGGATCACATGATCTACAGATACACATTTAAATTTTCTAACAGACGTGAAATAGTTTCTACATCAGTGATTCGGCCAGATCTCTTTCTATTTTACTTGTTCTTATGGAGTGGGTTCCGACTCACAGTAACTCTGTATAGGGTTTCTAAGGAATGGTTGGTGGGTTTGAACTGGCGATCTTAGTTAGCAATCCAGTGCTTATCCTACAGTGCCATAGCAGCACACCTATGTTTTTTTGAAACTAGTGGGATGATATATATATATATATATATATATATAGTTGTTGTTGTTAAGTGTCGTTGAGCTGGTTCTGACCCATAGCAACCCTGTATAGGGTTTCCGAGGAGCAGCTGGTGAGCTTGAACCACCAACCTTGCAGTTCAAATGGCTTTGCAGTCTGATGCATTAACCCACCGCACCACACCGGGACTCACTCTCTCTCTCTCTCTGTCTCTCTGTCTCTCTATATATATGTATATATTTATGTATATATATATATATAGATATATATATATGTATATATATATATATATATATATATATGTATATATATATATATATATATATATATATGTGCATATATACATATATATAAAATAGTACATTTTCCACAAATTAGAAAATACAAATCCCAAAAACCAAGAGTGAAAAGTCACACAACCCGTCCACGTGGGGATAGCACAGTGAGCATCTCGCAGCCCTGTCTATGGGCACGTTGTCTTTCAGGGAAGTGGTTCTCCAGCTGGCTAAAATCTCCTTGTAAATACTCTTAAAGGCTTTGTGAGTTACTTTTAATCCATAGACATACCGTGTTTTATTTAAGGGCTCCCTGATTTGGGGGAATTCGAGTAGTATTTCCTCTGTTTTCGGGATTCTAAATAACACTGCAATGAACATCTTCCTGTGATCTGAAAGTTTGTGGGGAAAGTCCATTATCTTTCAATCCCATTGTTCCCAGAACTTCCTGCAGACCTCATATGTTACAACCTGGATCCCTTTCTTTCTTTAGGGAACCAGAGGGTGAGCATGCTGAAGGGTATTGCCTGGGCCTGGAACGGCTTTGAGGGATGCTGTGACAGGCGTGGTGCGTGCTTACAGGAGGCCCTACCTGCAGAGAAGATGAGCTGCACCTGCTCGTCCACGATCTCCAGAGCCAGGAAGTCATGCTTCTCGTTGAAGCGGCCGTTGTAGAGAAGCAAGGCATTCCTTTCTCGGGTGGCAAACCTGCAGAGCCAGACAGGAGAGCCGGAAAGAGGGATTACACTCGGAGGGAAAAGCCATTACTGGGCGAGACAAGGACATCGTTGGAAATCTGCCTCCTGCTCCAATGGTTCAGAGGAAAACCACTCATCAGTCCTGTGGGTCCCTGCCGGTGGTCTTCAGAGCCTCTGACTGGTACCATGTCTCCCGGACATCCCTGGTTACAGAGCTCCTAAGCTAGCGGTACGTCTCCATCATCAGAGATTAAGTGGGGAAATTCTTTCCTTTGACTCATGGCTGGTTTCTCTGTTTTCAGGCGGCAGGAGTCTGTCTGAACCCACCCCAAACACCTAACTCTGCCTTCTCCCTGACTTACGTAAACTCTAGACCTCCAGTGCCCTCTGCTTCGAACACCAGCAAGGACTGATGACACACACGAACCATACAATACCCCAACAACAAGCTGGATGCTACGGGGGTGGAGTGGACAGGCAGAAAGCTTAATGAAGTCTGGGATGAGTGTCACATCTGTCTCCTTCCTAATTTTCATAGGTAGGTTTCTCTTTTGACCAAAACAGGAGATGAGCTGGTGAGCACAGGTTGGAGGTGTCTGCGTTATGCACGGCACCCTCCCACCTAGCACCCACCCATGCTGGAGACTGTGTTAGAGAAAGAACTAGAGCAGAAGGGAGGGTCTGAACCATGCAACGTAGGACGAGGCAGAAAGAACATGGCGGAGCAGAGGAGGACAAGAGCTGCCTCAAGTGAAGGGTCGTCTGGCTCACACTCCAGCCACTCAATTCAGGGGGTACAAGAGGATCCGACACCTCTGAAGGTCCCACCCCACCTGCTACTACAGTCCCCAAACTGGTCTTCTGTATAAACTTTGGGAGAATTTGCTTTAATGATTTTTGGAGTCACACCCTATAAAACACTCACTGGCTTGGCACTGACATCTTCACGCATGAGGAAAATCACCTGTCAGCTGTTTCCACTTGTCATCATTGGGCTCACCAATACCAACCGTAACGCCCAGCAGATGCACCAGATGTTGTTACAGAGACTGGTCACTCTGTGTTCTGGAATCAACAGGCTTCCTTTGATGGCTTCCAACATCGAGCCTCTTGACTCCTGCGTACCTGCTCAGGCCAGCCTCCAGCAGGGGGCCCCTCCCACAGCGGGCGAGCCAACAGTCACCACCCATGTGACAGAACAGTGGGGGACAGTGACTATATACAGGCCCAAAATCAACGCCGGTCACATGCTCCAGGGCACTGCCCAGAAGACACAGGGACCCTTCAGCTCAGATAGCTCCCTCATCTCACAAGAACCAGTTACATGAGACACAGCATGGTTGTGGGTCCCAAGCCAGGCAGGCCTTGCTTCTGACGGCTCACAGTCATGGGCAGCCTTGGGAGCACCGGGGTTCAGCATTGAGGGTAGGCAGAGGGCAATAACCCAGGCCTGGCTGCTAGGGCTCAGAGCTTGATGGCGTTGAAGGGTGAAGCACTCATTTTACAGATTAAGGGGCAGGGAAGGTGTCGGTAACCAGAACCATGTCAGCTACAAACTGAGCTCCCTAAGACTCTCACAGTAACTCTCTGGGGGTGGGTGCATCACTCATAAGTTACTGTCCCAGGGCTGCCAACTCACAGCGACCCGATGCATAATAGAACAAAACACTGCCTGGTCCTGCGCCGTCCTCACAGTGTTTGAGCGCACAGTTGCAGCCTTGGTGTCAACCCATCTCTCGAGGGAATTTCCCTTTTTCGCTGACCCTTCATTTGACCAAGCATGGTGACCTCATCCAGGCATGGATCCTCTCCATAACATGTCCAAAGTACAGGAGACAAAGTCTCGCTATCCTGGCTTCTATGGAGTATTCAGGCTGCACTTCTCCCAAGACAGAAGTGTCTGTTCTTCTAGCCCAAACCAAACCCACTGCCGCCAAGTCAATTCTGACTCACGGTGACCTTGTGTGACAGCTTCGTGGGGTCTCCTTGGCTGACTCCTGGTGACCTGTGTCATGGGGTCTCTGTGGCTGACTCCTGGTGACCTGTGTCGTGGGGTCTCTGTGGCTGTACCCTTTACAGAAGCAGAGTGCCAGGTCTTTCTTCTGCACCACTATGGGCTTTGTTTGGACAGACCCACAGAAATGTCCACAGTTGGAAATAGGAAATCTGGGATAAGAACAAGTATGGGCAGGGGTGCCAAGAGCAGGGGCTGTGATTGAGCTTCTGGGAGAGAGCCCTGCTGGTCAGCTTTGTGGGGCTGGGCAAGTTTTGTAGCCAGTCCCAAATGACAACAACCTACTAGCTTCAAGATGCATCTGCTTTGGAGATTTGGCACAATCGATTCATCAGACAAACAGAAGGACGTCGGGAGCAGGGAGTCTGGCGGGTCATCACTCCAGCCAGTGACCGCATAACGGACCCGCTTAGGGCTTCAGGTTCAGGTCTAGTACAGGAAGCCCACCAGGAATTCAAGCCCACTCCTGGTAAGAGAGCATCATGGCTGAGCTTTGTGGCGTCACCAGGGTGGGCGGGATTCGGAGTCAGGATAGTGGTTGGGGAACAGGTGGTGACCACCATACAGGCCAGACTTCCTGAGGGAAGTGGGCAGGCGGGGCAGAGAGGAAGGGACATTCCAAGTGGAGGAAACAGCTAAGAGGCCAAGGGAAGGTCCAGGTCCAGAGAAGTATGAGGGGTCAGGGGCACATCACAGAGCTGGAGGGAGCGGAAACAGGGGAGGGCCCTGAACACCGTGGAAAAGTGCATCCTGGTCAGGAGAGGCCCTGGCAGGACCATAACAACCAGATGTCACACAGGTGAGAGAGGAGGCCTGGACCCAGGTGGGCTGGACTGGGCAGCAGCAGGTGGACATGAGAGGCACAGGACGAAGGTCACAGGATGGGACAGGATGGGGGACAGAGGGTCAAGGTCCCACTGCCAAGGCAGCTGGGTCAGCACTGGGCCCTCCCGAGACTTATCCCGGATCCGTCCAGTGGGGGGTGTATGTGGGACACCCATGCAGAAATGATGGGATGCCATGTACAGAATTTAAATGCCTCACAGAACTAGCTTCTAGTTTCTGGAACTTTCCCACTGGAGTCCACGCTTGGAGGCTAAGCTGCCCAGCAGCCAGTCTCCACCTTCCCAGTGGACTTTGCAGCTCAAATGTTCAGTGATTAAATCCACAAACCATGAGGCCGAGGACCGCTGCAGCCTCTGGGAGCTGGGGAGGGGGGAGAA